CGCAGCCGTTGCGTCATGTGAAATTGTGCTCAGGAGAGGGGCCGGCGCCTTGGAGAGCTCCTTTTGTTCGCCGGACGCGCCCTGATTGGTTGGCGTCCCGCCTGCGCGACTCGCCATTGGCCGCGTCTCCCGTCCTGCCCCGCCGCTTCCTCCCGCCTTCCCGCGCTGCCCCGAGCGCTGATTGGTGCTCGGTGCAGCCCCGCCTCCCTCCGGGCCCGCCCCGCCCTCCGCTGGCTCTGCCCCCACAGCCCCCACACAGGAGGGGCGGGAGCGGCCGCTCCCAGGGGCGCTGGGTTTTCCCTGCTGTCTGGGAAGCGACCGGGCGAGGAGCAGTGGCCTTAAGTAAAACCAGAAGTTCCATCTCAGCATGAGGAAGAACTTTCTTTACGTTGAGGGTGCCAGGCTGCGCTGGGAGGTTTGTGGAATCTCCCTGTCTGGAGACATTCCAAAGCCACCTGGACGCATTCCTGTGTCACCTGCTCTAAATGATCCTGCCTTGGTGCGGGGGTTGGAATAGGTGGTCTCCAGAGGTCCCTTTCCAACCTGGCAATCCCTTGATTTTGTGAGTCGTTTGCCTCGGCAAGCGCCCCTGCCCTCCCTGTTTCTCTGATGGCATCCTTTAAACCAGTCCCCCTCGCACCAGTGTTTCCAGGTCTACACAGAGCCAGGAGCCGCAGGAGAGAGCTAGGAGTAGTGGGAGCGAGAGAAAAGTAACAAAACCTGCCTTTCCTTGTTTATGAGGTTTGCCCAAAGGTGTCTCTCGGGAGTGAAGTTGCTTGCAAAGCATTTTCAGATGTAGCCGCTCCTTCCCCCCACATTTCATATTCCTTGGTAACTGGAGAACTGTCAGCATTTGAAACCAGGCAAGGGGTGAAAGCTTCATTAAAATACAGTACGTAAAACACATCATGTGGGATCGTGTTTAAAGTGTAAATTATATATATATATATATGTACATACACACATACATATATTTTGCAAATACAGTAGAAAGATAGTAAAAACGTAAACCTGGAACATTTCTGACAAGAATTGCTCTTGTTGTTTTATGTGGCTAAAAAAATTCGTTTGTGTGTTCGTGTTTGTATGCCCTATATGAAAAACAGAGAAGGAGAGAAGAAGAAATGCAACGGCATCTTCCATTCGCCTGTTGAATTGCGTGTTCGTGTTTGTTCCTGTAAGCCTCAAAACGCTGTACTTTGAACACACCACTTCGCCTTTACAGTGTGTCACCACAAGATAAGAAAAAAAAAAAGTTTCCGTCCCTGCCTGACCAAAGCCGGGATCGCAAAACCTTTCCTCAGAGTAAATATTAGCCAGCTGTTTGAAGACACGCTGTCTGTGAAGAATATTAGTGATACACCAGGAATCAACCCATAGCGTATACCCAGTTTATTTAGCAAAAACAGAACGCACTGTTCTGCTGCTAGGGGAAAAATGTGGGGGTGGGGAAATCTAGCTCCTCCTCCAAAGTACGTGTTTGTAAGTTAGAATGCTCGTTCCTGTTAATTACAGGAGCAAAACCAATAATAGAAACAAAACAGCCTTGATGAGGATACCATGTGGTCCAAGGCCACCCTCAAAAGCAGGTTTGCTGTTCACTAATAAGGAAAATACGGAGCCCGATGAGGTGAAGCAGTGTGCTGCCTCCAGAACGCAGAGTCTTCCTGAGGTCGAGTACACCCAACGTGCCCGAGCAGATCTCATGTTTTAGTGTAGCATTACACAAGTTCGCCTTTCGCAGTCTTCATGTGAAGCCAGTGGTACCTCACCAGGTTGGTAGTGAGAAGTGGATCGTGGGGCCCCCGTGAGCCGAGGAGTCGTGGGAACACTCCGTGCTCTAAGCGACTTGTGAAACAGCTCATTAAGAGTGGCACAAGAATACCCATTGAGCCTATCGTCGGGCTCTTTAATGAAAAGTTGATCATTATTACGGAATTGTTTATTATTTATGTTACTTATCTTTATTATTGCAGGAATTGTGTTGTACCAGCATTGTGCACAGAGTGTGGGTTTCTCTATGGCTACAAAAGCACACTTCATGTATGTGTTCTTGAGCCTCCTGTCAGAAGCATAGCTTTGCTGAAAGCATCACCTAGAAGTGCCTCTGGTGCAGCTGTATTCCACTGCTTCTTATCACAGTTGACATAGCTGTCAGATAAAGTTTGGATATTTGGGTCATTTGAGGGGTTTTTTATAGATGCAGGTATAGGTTTTGCTGGTATAAAACCCTCTAGAAAGCCTCTAACCTAGACCCACACATAGCACGCTTGACTTGAGGATCACCAGCAACTGATGATTAAGGAAGTTTTGATGGTTAGCCATGAAATTAAAGTACTACATAAGAAAACATATCAAGATAAAACACCTTCCAAGAATTTATTACATCCCAGAACATCTACAGTTGAGACTAGTCATACTTGTGTTTATGTGTTTATGTTATGAGATTAATTTTCTTAGGAAGTTTTATAAAATTCCTTTAAACTGTTTTATAGCTATAGAAGGGGGGGCAGTGGGGGAGGGAATCTAGGCACCCAGAAATGTTCTTGCTGGTTTTCCTGGAAAAGAAAAAAAAAAAAAAAATTGAAAATACATCCTTTTTGACACGTCTGAAAGAGGAAAACACAGACTCTAGTGAAACAAACACAGTGTTGATTTTTAAATATTGGTTTAATGAGATGTAAATTACCCATCCGTGTATGAGCTGAAGTCCTTTGTTCTGCAGCCAAGATTCTCTTAAGGAAGCAGGCTGTGTTTCTACGTGGGCCTCCCAGAGGGTGAGGGTGCAAAGCTTTATACCCTGCTCAAGCTTCCACAGCAGCTCTGCTGACATCAGTCTCGCTCTCTCCAGCAGCTGATCTCTGGAACAGCCTTGACTAGAAAATTTGCCAATGTAGCTGCAGACCTGGTACACTATCCTAGATACAGGATCCAATTTAAATTGTTTTAATAACTATCTCTTGCTTATATCAGAGCTGAAAGCATGTTGTGCTGTTGAAACCAGACCTGTGGGTTTTTGCCAGCAAAGCTGTATTGACTGGTGAATGTTGTTACATCCTGCTATTGCTAAATCAGCAAAACTTTTAAATATAAACCGGGTCTCTGTTGTCTGCCAGCCAGATTACTCCTTGTCCAGGTTGCATAGGTGTCAGGCAGCTTCCCTCACTTTTATTCACCTTTAGAGTTGTACCTTGGTGACCTCTGTCCAAATAACCACGGGCTTTTTATAACTGGATTATCTCCTGTTTAGAGCTTAGCACCTAGATTGTTCTGAATGTGGAAAGCCTAGTTTTGTTCATAAAGTCAAAATGTAGGAAATGCTGGAATGGCAGATCTATGGAAGCACAAAAAAAATGCAGTTTACTTTTCTGGTGAGTACAACCAAGTTGGAGATGCATCTGGAGATGCAATGCAGTTACAGCTGCATTGGAGATGCAGATGAAGAAACCATCTACTAACATTTCTTTAATTTTCAAAATTCTGGGTATTGTAACTTTATTAATATGTTTTGGGCTTCATATCCTCAAAAATACTTAAGACATGATAAACATATTTAGTAAAATATCGTTTGCTGGGTTGATAGACACAAATAGACACATAGTGAAAAATGTTTAGTGTGTCTAGACAAATGTACCAACCTGTATTGCCTTTCAAAGCTTTTCAAGATAGTCCTGGCAGCTTCTAATCTCTGTAACATTTTCATTGTAATGGGTTCATCTTTACAGGAAGGCAGACAGACCTCAAACAGTAATGAGCCAAGATCAAAGACTAGGGATAGATAGCAAAGAAACTCTTGAATCAATGTATTCCTGTCTTTGTCAATCTATACTAAATACCATGGCAATTAAAAGATCTCTGAAATATTTTGGACAGTATTATCAAACTCAGTATTTGGTATCTGGACATGGCGCCCAAAGATGTGACAGTAAGTCTTGTGAAGCACATATTTATTTATACTGACTTTAACTGTGTGGGCTACCACTAAAAGTCTGACTCCAGGCTTTTTTATCTTGTGTTCCTGGTGCTAAAGACTTGCTGCCTTCCCAGGAAAGTTTGTGTAATCTTTAGAAACCCCATGCTGGAGATTGTTACTGGTCCCTGAGTTGACATGTCACCAGCTCACCTTCTGAAATGACATCTTGGTCGGTCTTGAGAGACTGGAGCACTCAAAACTCAGATATATTTTACTCTGGCACATCTGTGTCATCTTCAGCTATCCAGACAGATATTTATTACCGTTCTGTGTTAGCTGGGTGACATTTTGCTGGGCAAGGTTCTGGGTTGCTACAGAAACTGTCTCTGCAGATCCATTCAATAAAGCAAGGCTCTAGTGACAAGACTCATGCTTTCAGCAAGAACATTAATAATTCACATTTCTGCTGGCCAGCTCTCTGTGCCTTCCCTACAAACAGGCTGGCAGCTCTAAGGAAAGCAGCTGCAATTAGCTGGAACTAGTGTCTAGAGAGTTAAAGGCATGTTTACTAGAGTAGACTATATCTTGGAAATATTTTGCTTCAGAGACTAATTTTGGTGGGTTTTCTTTTGAGAAGGGCAACCCCAGCAAGCCTCTGTCAACTGTTTTTCAGAAAGATAACAGGAAAGGCTCCTGGTTTAACTAAACCTGCTCCTATCACATGACATCACACTCCCCCAGCTATCCCTCGTGCAGTACAGCCGCCAAGGAGGCAGCTGGCTTTCTCACTGATAGCGCATGCAGTCACGTAACACCATGGAATTAACCTGGAAAGGATTCCCTGGTGTTTCAGATCTGCCTGGCTCTCTCTTCCCATGAGCAGCTGTCAGCACAGATAGGACTGGGTACCCATAGCAGTGAGGGACTCACAATGTTGAGGCTCTGCTTATGCAGGGCACTGCAAGTGCTTGTTAAAACTCGGCATTAAGCTGGAGAACTGAAATGCTGCTTCCACACACAGATTCAAGAGGATTCCCTCTGTAAACCCTTATCTCTCTGACTTCTTCCATCTATGCAAACTATCTGTCCAGTATTTAATCCATCCCCTTCTCAATCACACTTCTGCTGTTCAGTTCTGAGAGTTCAACTCTTCCTTCTTCTACAACATCCCCTTTTACAACTATTTTCAATGAATGTGGGAAGAATGTCAACAAATAGAGGACAGATGTCAAGTAGTATGGGATAAATGTCAATAACTATTGGATAGACAGAGTCTACAGCAGTGTTTGGGTGAGCCAATGGCTCGTCCATCTTTCACAAGAAGAATTTGCCCAAGAATTTTGTAAGTTCCATGTAGTTAAACAGTATTTGGGTTGTTTTAGTGTTTAATGTGGCTGCAGCTAGCCTAGCCTCTGCTCAATCATGGGCTATTTTTTTTTTTTTTTTTTTTTTGGTGTTACAGTGTGGTCTGATAAAAAGTCCTTTAACACTTAAGTGTGTGCTGGTTTTGGCAGGAATAGAGTTGATTTTCTCACAGTGGCTGGTATGGGGGTGTGTATATAGCTGTATATATGTGTGGGGTTGTAGAGACAACAGGTGCAAAGTATGGCAGGTTATGGAAGGTGATTCTTTTTACTTTGCAAATCCTGTTGGGAAAACCATCTGCTCACCAGCCTCTACTCCACATGTGTGTGTGATTGTTCATGCCTTAGTGTCAGACTTTGTGCTGGTCCCCATTGAGTTGCAGTCCTGAAAACGTTGCTCTGATTGTCAAGTTTGTTTTGAAATTGAAACCCATCCTTCATTGTAATTGTGGCCATCCCAGTTTTGCACTATCAGTAACCTTCAGACATGCATTTTTTATTCCATCATCTGCATTGTTAGTGAAACATTGAAAAAACTTGGATAGACTCCTGTAGCCACCTTTCTGTGCTGAAACTCTATGAAACCAGATTTGTACTGGGCGTGTATGGGTTTCAGTTAGTTTCTTTATGAACGTGCACAATGACCAAAATCTCACTCAAGTCCCCGTATCTGATGATATCTACAACTTTTTGCTTTTTATGAGTCTTGTTAGTCTATCATAAAAAGAAATCTGATTGCAATTTCTACTAGATATAATTTATACCTGATGAATCCATGGTAGCTACTACTCCTCTCCTTGTTATTTTCCAAATGCTTACAAGTAACTCCTTATCTACTCCAAATTGAAGGAACTGAAGGTAGCTGGCCTTTAATTTGAAAGTTCCAAAGCCCAAAACAATCGGATCCTACTTCTTATTGATGGTATTGAAGTTACACACAGTAACCCTCTAGACATGCTGGAATCGATTTATATAATGAATTTGCAGCCTGCATCACTGTGTGGTGACAGTGCTCACAGTGAGCGAGGGGACTTGACTAACAGAGGAGCATCTGATCTTTGCACTAACACTGTGAAGATCAATTGGGAATAAAAAAGACTGTGTAAACATCAAGCTCTGAAGAGGAAGAGCTATTCCCTTATGTCTTTATGGAAGCAGACCTGTAATGGATGCCTGTAGGTGCACATCACTCTGCTCTGACAATGAATCACTGATAAATATTTTCTGAGAACAGTTGCACAACCAGTTTTGCACCCCTTTAGAAGTTGTAGCTGCTTTGCTTATGGGACTGTTATGTCAAGCAAAGGCCCTGTTCGAGTGGACATTTTCAAAGTTTTTTTCCTCTCCAAGAATCTGTTTACCCATGTAAGGTTTGCTAGTGGTTTGATATGATGTTTTTCAGATAAATCAGTGTTGGCAATTACTAATGCCTTGGTTATCTATTGTGAAAAAACAAATAGAAATTGAAATGTTGGCAAAGATTTGCAAGACATTTTAAAAAATGTTTATTTGTGGGGTTTTTGTTTGGTTGGTGTTTTCTAATTAAAAGCAAAGCTCCCATTTATCTTTTAACAAAATAACCCTGTCCATCAGCAAATGCTTAGTTTGGCAGTGAGGTGCAAAGTAGTTTTCCCAAAATCAATAGATAAGGTAGGTGGTGTCTTTCTTTTTACTTCTTTGTTTAGATTAGAAGGAAGCACGTTCTAATTGAATTGAATTTTATACTGCTCCCTGGGGCATTTTGCTGGGAAGAACTGTTGTGATTCTAGGCTAAAAATCTTCCATTTGCCTGAAGGTGTCCATTTTTGGGGTTCAGATTACACTACTAGCCCAACAATAGTTTTTTATGGTAATGAAAATCTTTTTGTATGTATTGTCGTGCAGAAAGTTTCCAGCCTTTCTCTTGAGAAGAGTAAATCTGGTCTTGGGATGGTGCTTTAACTCTTACTTAACACAGCTGTGGTTCCAGCAACATTTAACACCCACAGATCCTTGAGTAGGAGACAAAGCAGGCACCCTCCCTCTCTTTTCCCACTCCCATGCTGGATAGCTTGCAGTGTTATGCATCTCCCTATTAACATCTTCCCTTTCAGCCTGGACAAGAAAACCCATGCATGGATCAGAAGACAAATTATTCTTGCAGTGCCCCCGAGTTCATTAAAATACAATTGTTGCTAGCTTAACTGCAGAAACACTTCCTAGAACCTCTTCTCTCCTTTACCCACCCTGGACAGACCCTGAAAAATATCAAACCACGGTGGGCTGGACTCCGCTACGGGGATGACCACATAGAGGGTGGGGGGGCTGCAGCATTATCAGCGTATTATCTCTTGTTATCCAGAAAAGGCTCTTCCCTGATTCTTCAAACAGGATTTTCCTGTTACTGTGTGTGGGCTGGGAGGTTTAACTACATTCTGACTCTTCCTTTGCTATGCGTGCAATTGTTTCCCAGAAATCTTTATGGAAACCTTTATGCAAGAAGGCATAAACCTGCTCGGGAGAGTAGTCTCAGTGCTCGACAAGCCAAATCCTTCTAGGGGACAGCTGTCATCATCACAATACAGCCAAGCAAGCAACCGCCCCCCTCAACCCTTTACATTAAGGAATAGTTTTGACTTAAGCCTATTTTGTATCTTGTAAGAAGATTAAAAGAATTAAAGAGAAACCTGTTCAGTCCATTTAATATTAAGCATATGACACATAGCTTCATCTTGTACAGGGTCAGAATAAACAGAAGGACATAATGACTGTAGACATTTTATGCTGCTCTTGAGGACTTCTATGCTGGGATACCCTGCCTGCATCCATCTCCAGAGGATCCCCAGAGCTCTGTAGTTGCATACAGATGCCACCAGCCATGGTTCTTGGAAAAAACATCCTGAGTGAGCAATCACTTCAGTATACTGAAAAGGAAAGCTTCCTTGGCCTTGCTGCAAAGGTTTTGAGGAGGTAGAAAGTGGCTGGCAGTGGGTGGGATGGGGCTAAAGTCACAGCATCCCTGCAGACCCTGCCCAAGGGGTCCCAAACAAGGTCTAAATTAATTTCTTTCATCAAAGGTGTGAGTAGACCCTGCCCATCAAATCACATCAGTACAATGGTGGCACACTGGTGTGGGGGACATGGAGAGGACAGAAATTTCGGCCTTGAAGGACGGGTCCTGCTGCAGATCTGTGCCTGCCAGCCCACTCCCCAAGACTCCAAGACAAAGCGATATGAGCATGATGACTTCTTGGCATACTGGCCATGCCTAAAGCCCTTGCCTGTCCCTCAGTAAATGCCAAACTAAGTGCAGCCATTTTGAGGACTCCGTAGACTCTACGGTAAAACAATTCACTGGCTGACCTAAACGGAGTGATTACAGAAGTACTCACAATGTACTTCCTCACAACCATCATAAAAGTCCTGGGCTAACTCCCAACTGCTTTTACAATCTGTTTGCCTGACTTGCTAGTAGGAAAAACCTCCAGCTACAGTTTATTTGCATAGTGTAGGAACATACAGCTGCCTAATATCCCTATTTATTTACAGCACTGTGTTCAAAATCTACAAACAGTAAATACTGTCAATCATAAACAATCCATAATGAACTTAAAAAGTGAACTTAGTACTGGGAACAGCTGGATGTACATTGGATGTACATTGGGATGTACCATGAGAATCAGCATGTGGAGATGTGCCAAGTGAGATAGAATTGGGACAGGTTACTGGCCTCATCACAGTCAGTTATTGCTTTGAGCTGGGTTTATATGTGACAATATTGTGTTAGGGTATCTTAGCATATTTTTAAACACATGGAGACAAAGGTAAAAGTTATGTGTTTCTGTGTCTAATTAACCACTTCAGTGCTGTGAAAAGAGACACACTCTAGCCCCATAATAAAACCAACCCACAATAATCCTCATATGTATTTACCCCACATTTTATATGATTTAGGTTGCAATTTCAGTGAAGCCAATAAATTTGCAGAATTATCCAGTCACCCAGTAAATACAGCGAATAAGCAGAATATATACATGCTGATGAGCTGGTGATATACAGTAGCAAGCAGACACATTAATAGGTTGCTCAAATAAAATCTTAGATTTTCTCTATCTCCATTTTCTTCCTAATAGCAGAAATTATGGCTTCTCCTTTTGCCCTTTCCCCTTGCTGCTTCCATCAGGAATAAATTTGTTTCGTTCACACTATGTGAAACCCTGCAAAGTGTACACACCAGCTTATAAATAGGTAGAGGAGCTGCAAATATGCCTTGTTCAAGCTCTGCATCTTTTATAAAGGGGCCATGGTGCAAAGTATGCAAAGACTTTTAAAAGTATGCAAAGACAAGCATTTAAAAGGGCAAAACTCAGACTCATTGATACAGGCCAACAGGGTAGCTCTGCTGAAGTGCTTTATGAGTCCTTTTCTTTTGCCTTGCCCTTTTATTACTCTTTACCTCTGTACTCACCTGTACTTGAGAATGATCAGAAGAACAACTTGATGCTTCCAGGCCAAAGTTTAGCAGTGGGTTTACATTCAAATCTTCATGTTCGGCATTTTGCTCTCATCATGTAAGCATGCAAATCTTCTAAGTGCAAATCCACTAAGCACAGGGCAGAGGAACAGCATCTCCAGCAATTAACTACATTATAATCCTACAATGTTCCTTAAAGCAGGCACCTCCTCATTTCGGAGGTAATAAACATATATAATTATATTAGCACTCTAGTGGAGTCAGCAGATCTTTGAGGCAGACCTACCTCCAGTTTTCCCATGAAGCAGACATCCCAAAACACAAAGCTCTCAACTTCAGCAATCAGATTTTTTTAAACATAAAGGAATACTTTTTAAAAACCCCAACAATAACAACAGAGAACTGTTGAAGTTAGGCAGAACAGAAAGTTTCTTAATTAACTTGTTAATTTAGGTTTCTTATCCCAAACACTTCTCTCTGTCCATCCTGTCCTTAAAGTGGTTCACTCAACTGATCATGCTTAACTGTACCAAAGAAAAGCAAAGAACCCATTGCAGGGTTCCCACCACAGCTGCAGCATCCAAGACAGAGGCAGCATCTTCCCTGGTGCCAAAACAACAGCCTGTATGTTTTGTTACACACCATGTTCCAGGGAACACAATAGATAGTGCACATGAGGAGAGTGGGTACTCCCCCTGCAAGCTGCAGGAGGCTGGGGATGCTTTGCCCTGTGGCAGTTAGTTTGGAGGCTCTCTAAGTGCCTGCTTTGTCCTGTTCCAAAGCAGCTGTGTGTCCATGTAGGTGTTCATTAGAGGTGAAGACATCTGGCAATTTTGTGCCTTGTGTTGACTTATGCAGGTAATTATCTAACATGAAGGCATGTTAGTGCATCCAGAGTGCACAAGCATGTTTATACACTATATAAACAACTGCATTGTCAGTATTGCAAGATAGCAATCTCTTGTGGTCACTTCATTGGGGATGTAGAGCCTGTGTAATGCAAGGGATGTAGGTAGTCACTGTGGAGATGGGTGCGAGAGGCTGGTGATTCCACCCGAGAGCTGTTTTCTCTCACAGACTGTGACCCAGCTTGTGAGCTGATGAAGTGAGCACATCTCATGCCCCACGTAAGCATGAATCTCACAAAGCACATTTACCTAATTTACTTAAAATTTCAACAGACTGATGAAAAACAAAGCAATTATTTACGTTTTAGATGATTTAGGCTGTGTTTTCAGTTAAGTCAATAAATTAGCAGATCTAAATTATCCAGTCACTGAGTAACCACAGCAGAGAACCAGGTCACATAATGAAAAAAGTAATTTTTTTTTAAGCTTATCTTGTAATTTAATGAAGGTCTAGTTTTCTTTTGACCAGAAAAAAACCCAGCTATTATTTAGCTAATATTTTAACATAGTTCACATGTCACTGGAGGACCCTGTCATTACTAGGCATAGGTGTCTGTGGAATATTAAGAGTACATTTTGGTCTTTGGCGAGTTAAATGATCCAAGCAGGTAAGAACTGTACAAGCTCAGTTCAATAAGTGCAGTTATATGAATGCTTGTAACACATCCTTAAATCTCCCTGCTTTTACATGTTAGCAGTTTCACACTGTTTTTCCCATCTCTATGCAGTTACAGAATATTTTGAAGATTTAACATGCAGACAGATGATGGTTAAATCATCTCCAACAGCAGTTTTCACACAGCAGTGGCTTTTTCACTGAGAACATACCAGTGGCAGTGTTTTCCTTTTTTAGCAACTGTAAGAGACAGTTCAGCCTCCTTCTCCTCTCTGGCCATGGCTTAATGACACAATAAATCCAATATTAGGGCCCTTGGCATCGGACCAGTTATACCATAACCTGCTACCCAAGGTGCAGATCCAGCTTTCACTCATGCTGTCAGTTAAAATTTCTCTAATATTTTACTGATTTCTCACTGACACGCTTAATGCGATTACAACTACTGTACTCTGTCCCATTGTCACTTCATGTCAGATTAGATATCAGCTACCAACTGTTAAAAAATGCATATGAACTCCATACCAGACACAATTCAATGGCAAGATAGTCATATGCCCACAGTGAACTGGAACCAAATCCATATGCTTGGAGATCCATCACTGCACACATCCAGTAATAAAAATGATGGAAAGAGCCTCCCACATGCACTGCGCACACTAAAATTAAGACATGCTTTCACTGAGAAAAAGTTAAAACATGAATGGTTCAAGCAACTGTTTAATTTCTTAGGATCTCCCTCCCTAAAGTTACTCTGGGATTTTACCAAATTAGGTGATCCTATATAAGGGTGCAAGGCAGTGTGTAAGGGTCATGGTTGAGAAAACAGCCATGGTTCCTGGTTCAAATTGCAAATGCAGGACCTCCATCACTATCAGTTTTTACAAAAATAATTAAAATTTTAAAAAGCACAGTACGTCCTTACATTCCTTATTTTCTTGTCAATCACTGTCATGCTCTCAGCATTTTTAAAGCACTCCAGATCCTTACTGTGGAGGAACAGAAGTAGTAATAAGAGCTCATAGCTCAACTTGTTAGCTTTTGGCCTAAAAAACACAAGGCTATAAGAGGACATTCCACTCATAGCTAAACAGTTTTCTTGTACCAGTTGTCAAGGGGATTTTAAAAAGCTTCATTTCTTTATGTGTGAGTGAATATTGAGGCTTGGGAAGACATGGTGTGCTGCTGGTTTTGGTTGTAGTGTTTCACGGAAGGGTGAGGAGAAGAATGGGAAGAGAAGTGATATCATCTGTTTTAAGTTAGTTCTTGAACTTCTGGCTACTTGTGTTTAGTTACATTTCTGAAAGATAGAACTTCTCTGGGTACTGTCTCACATTTTCTGATGTTTGATCTTTCAGTATTAGAAAAATGGCAGTTTTCAACCACCTAAGATTTGCACTGTTGATTTCTCTCAGAAGATTGACATGTCTGCCCCATGTCACCCACGACCAGGCAGCAGGGTGATATTTTTCTGTACTGTTGTATTAATATGTATTTCTTTCCTTTGTCACAGAAGCTGCAGCATGTCAGTAGAAAAACAGACCCTGTAATAATTGCAAAGACTTCTAATCCTTACAGTCTAAATTTGCTTTAATACTTGCCTTAGCTCAACTCAATAGAATGACTGAAGTTGCAATAGCATGTGCAAGGCTGTTCTTCAGTAAATCACTTTCCCTTGCCTTCTCACAAGATGAAGCATCTCTGTGGCACTGCTGCAAGGCAGAGACAAGATACATGCAGGAAAGAGCAGAGCTTGTTTTGCTGTTTGAAAGGGAAGTAGACCCTCCTCTGAGCATGTGTTCTCTTCAAACATGTCACAACTCCCGTTTCCAAAGTCCATCCTGCCAATTCTTTCCTTGTTGATTTTGGCAGAAAGTTAAGAAAAATCAATTAACTGGTGACAAATCTCTGCTCTAAGAAAGTAAGACCCCACTGGGAAAACCAAGAATAGCCATTAAAATGTTCCACAAGAAAATGCCTCATGTTGCATCTGTATTTAACTTGTCAAAAACTTTTCAAAATTCTGTGCCTTGATATCACAACTGTCAGTTGTCAATATTTAACGACATTGCATTTCAAACCTGGAAAACTGTTGGCTCTTTTATCCCACCAATGCAATCTGGCTTGTTCCACCTTCTTTCCTCCTTCTTTGTAGGGTAATGGCTAAAATGAGCAGCTTCTAGGAAGGCACGGTGGCAGTAAACTGGCATATACATTATACTTGAGTTCACACTGGGTCCAGCGATGGGCAGGACCAATAAGTGATTTATGACGCTGTCCCAGAGATGAACAGGAATGTCTCTCTGGCAGAAGCATATTAACAACAACACCATTCTGCAATCTCCAGCTATTTGGCAGCACACCCAGCAGTCCGCACAGCCACTACAAATGAAGCTCTTCAGCCAAGACATTATGTAAAAATTAAACTAAAATTAACCACTGTGAGGGCCATCCAACCTGCTCTACCTAAGCCTTAATATATTCTGTAAAGAAGGGATAAAATACCCAACAAAATACTGCACAAAAGACTTCGTGTTATGTTTTCAGGCACCTACTCTATTTCTTCCCTTGAAGGGTCAGATGTCATATTGCTGAGATTTCACTGGCATTAGGGCATCTCTCCAAAAGGCAGTGAAATATAATCTGGTGGAGCATTACAGTATGTACTTTCCATCTGAATCCAGTACTTGGTGGAATCCTGGACTCATTACTCTGTGGGAGGACAGTTAGCTACATACAGTAAATGCAAGTCATTAATCCCCCAAATCAAGAATTCATTAATTTAAACCTAACTATACACAGGTAATCTTTCAGTAAATTATTACAATTCAAATCATCAGTGATGTGGATCAACCTTTTCCCTAGGAAAGAGCAGCAATTAATCCAAAACTGGTAAAACTGGGACCAGTTCAAGTGAAAACAGTCGTCCACTAGCATCAATCCATATACCAAAGGACAGGTCGCAAACAACAAAGAGTTTGTACAGGGAAGGCTCAAGGATCAGAGATGACTCAATATTTCATTGCATTATTGCAAACAGGAAGAGGCTATTTCATAAGTCACGGGTCATTTCCATAACTTGAAAGCCCATCTGTATACAAACAGGTCATTACAACAAGGAATCACACACAGGATTTTCCATCTTATTAACCTCAAGCAGAGAACAAGTGCTGGGCACACTTAAATCCTGCAGAAAGCTCTGTATAGTCTGGTGTAGACTGGAAACTTCCAGAAGAACCACAGTGTATGCTGGTGTCATGAATACAACCTTATGCTTGTAATAACCTTCTCTTATCCTCCTGACCCTTTTCCTCTAATCCCTTAATCATTGCTGTGGCATGTCTCTGTGTTTACATACATCAAACACACTTCTTGCACCACGGACAGTTTTGGAAACAGGTTCAAAAGGCTTTATACCTGCCGATGACGAGGAAGTGAATCCTGTTCATGTTCGGTACTGCCTGCTTTTTATGGAAGAGAAAGCCAGATGCCATCTGCTGTTTGTAGCCTTTGTGAAGATGCCTCTTCAATTTTTTGCTTGAATTGGTCCCTAAGTAGCTCTATTTAGGCAAACAGAGAGGAATTTTACCTACTCTAGTAAATACTAAGGCTGCATCTCTGCTATACTTCTGCAATAGTTCAATACTGCTAGTACTCAGGTGTTTGGGTTTTTTAATTAAAGAGCTTGAGATAAAAATTCCATTTTAAAAATAATTTCTGAGTGGTAAACTGAAATCAAGAACAGAAATGTTTGAATTTTAGTTCAAACCTTTCAAAACTACTTAAAGATATGTAGGAAAGATCTGAACACAACATCTAATTCAAAATATAAATCACTATATATTAGAACATGAAACATTTTTCATCATCATCATTCATTACTACCTTTAATTTTGTAAAGCTTCTCAAGAGGTCTCCAGTCAACAACAGCCTGAACTACTTATTCATGCACACATGGTCCCATGTAGAATTCCACTGATTTCAGAAAAGTTAATGACTGTCTACTAATTATATGAGTTTAACTGTTACATTTTATTCCCTTAGATGTGAAATCAGATCCATAAAATCTAAGTGTGTGCAGACCTTCAAAGATGAAGCAGAGGACTACCTGATAGCAGCAGCAGCCTGCAGGCACAGCAGCTAAGCTGTATCTCAGCTAGATGTGGAGGTCAGATATCTTAAGTCTGAACTAGTCTAACCTCTGCTTCCTCTGTGGTCAACAGAAAGGAACGAACATCTCAAGAGACAAATTAGTCTTCCTGCAACACAGACACAAGAATTGAGCCCATTCCTACACAAACTGCTCACATAATTAACTATCTAGTCATTACCTGTCACACATAGTGGACCCCACGTGAGAATAATTATGCACGCACAAGTGCTGTTTGGGCTCAAGCTCCCGCTAGCTTGTGTTCTCTAAACTGAGATTCTGAATTAGGGTAAGAGGTGCTGAAATCAAACCTGGGATGTGTACAGTGCTCTCCACAGAGTGCAAGGAAAGCCCAAGCACACACTGGGCATCTAGTGTCTGAAGTTCAAGGAAATTGCTTCCATTCACTACTAGTGTTTATGTTTCAATCTCTAATAAATGACAACTTAGACAATTATTTATTTTAAATACCTTGGTCCTAGGCAGAAGTAGTTCCCAATCAACACCAACATTATTTCAAACCTGTCTTCCTAAATTTAACTATATTTGGTTATTACCTGGTAGAATAATGCCAGAGGAGAAAAAAAAAATCAGCGATGGAAAGCTGAAACAAAAATCTCCGCTAGATGCTTCTTTCTTGTAATTACTAACTAAAGATGAAGTGTTAGGCACTAAAGGACGCACTGAGGCCGTCACGCTCAATATTGGCGCTGTAGAGTGTTTAAACATTACAGCAATACATAAACGGTCTTGGAGCCACCCTCTGCTAGCCGACACCCACCGGTACGGTGGGCCAGTAGCTAAGGCAGCTACAGCACCTCTCCAGTTTCAGAGCCAGCAGAGATCAACGCCCCCGAGGCGCATTTTGCAGCACCACATAGTATTCGGCTACCCTAAAGGCTTGAGCAGTGTGACCCAAGGGCAGCTGGGAGGGACCGAGTGAGGCCCTCTGTATGCCCACTTCGGGTTCTGCAAGGGGAAGCTCTGCCGCTCCCTCCCTCCCCTTACAGCTGCATCCAGCCCGGGTTTCACCCTACACCTGTGTCCCTGGAGTCCGCCAGGAGATGAACGGGATTTATGATTGCTAACACAGCCGTGCTCTTTGCTGCTCTGCAGGCAAAACAGGTGGGCTAGGAAACCACAAACCCTGCCTGAACAAACCCTGTACTGACTTGCACAACCACCTGCATGCATTCATTTTATGTAAAATAAAATACAAATCTAATGTTTTGAAAATTAGGGCTTCTTTTATGACTTTTACTTTTTTCTAGAGACAGAAAACTACCTTGCATTTTGGACTCAGAAATGTGAACATACGAACCCTACAGAGATACTGTTCAGTCTTTGATTCTCCTTGTTAAAATGTGTCAACAAGTTTTCCAAGGGATAATAGCTTTCACACAGAACACTGCAGACATAATGTGTATGAAGGGCTGGGTTTGCTAAGCCTGTTGATGGGTTTTTGCACTACTGTATTTTAGCTGTGACAGTCTGGTTTTTAGTAATACTGCTGGGACTGCATCTTCGCTGGGCATCTGCAAAACACCACTTCTGTACTGGAGGTAACTGAAGCAACTGGCTACAGAGATCCGTTTTTCCTCAGGTGTCATAAATTTAGGAAATAGAAAGTACAGCTTAAGAGTTTTAAAATGCAAAGGTTAAATACATGAAACTTGGCACATGAAAAACACTTTTTGTCCACTTTTTAAGTGTTATTACACATCTTTCCCCACTCAGATTCAAGGAGGCTTCTTCCCTCCAAGCTTACTTTTTTCTTTATAATAGTGGGATGCTACAGGCAGAACTCTGCAGCCACCAGAATCACCACCTCCCCACAGCTAATACATTATTACTATAGGGAATTATCCTAGGGTTTCTCACACATTAAACACTGAATGCAATGTACTACATATGGGTAACAAGGAAATAGTAAGAAAAAAAAAAAAGAGTCTGGAAAACCTGTGTGTTGCAGACACACGAACTAGAAACAAAATGGTGATGAAAACCAAGTGTCATTTGTGGATGGTGGACATGAGCAAAATAATGCCTTGTTTTTCCTGCTATGTCACTGACTGCTGAGCAGTAAATTCAGAAAGACTGGGATAGCTATTCCCTTACATCCATGGAAGCAAACATTACCTGGAGGTTGCACACATAATGCACTGCCAGAGCACAGGGGAAGTTCAGGGCACGTGTTTCCTTTGGGAGAAATAAGATGGTAAATTGACAGTAGCCAAGAAGCAGAGCCACTCATACCAGAGAAAATGAGCGAGGCAGACATATGGCAGGCATTCCAAAAGCAGGATCTTGGCTGATGTGATTTGTACCTAAATTTAACTTCAGGTAACAGAGAACTGACTATAGCAAAAGGCTGAGATATCTGAGGTACCATCAAACCTGAATGAATGAGGCTGCAGTGCCACTCAGAATAAATGGCTGCAATGCCACCCATGCCAGAGGGCTGCATCACTCAAGTGTTGACAGCAACTTGTGAGACCCCTCACATCCTTGCTTTCATGGCCAAGCATGTCACATGCCTCAGTACTCATGACAAGGTTAATCTACCCACTCAAGGGTAAGAGTTTGAAAGACAGATGTAAGCACAGGTTTTAACAAAACAATTCATGCCAACTGTATTTGTTGTGGACCAGACATTTGTTTCCATTTGTTCTCAAGAGGGAATAGCTTCTCCATCTCATGAGTTTGTCAACAACACAAAGCTCCTCTCCACTTCCATTATTCTCCCAGTTTACTAATAGGTATTTTTAAAAAATGTTAAATTGTATTGTTAATATGTATATAAATGTATTTCAATACATACATTTTATATACATACATATATGCCTAAATTTCCAGATATGTACCTATAAACAATTTACACTATAAGAATTATTGCATAAATATTTATAACGAATAACATTCATTTATTCTCACTGGACCTACTAAAATAAACTCCATTTATCATCCCCTTGTTTCCAGGAGGTAGCACTGGGACAGCAGTTGCTCCAGTTACAATCTACCCTGGAGATGAGAGCTTTCAGTGGGCAGGAATTTTCAGGAGGGCAAATGAACCTCACCGCTGTGTGAAGTGTGACTGCCTGTCATCCCTGGTGACACACAGCACCCACCTGGCTGCCAACTCATGTGAGGACTGCACCTGCCTCTACTTCATGTTTGTTTCCCCAGAAAGGTTAACAGCAGCAACAATCTCACTCTTGGGGGATGCAATTACTCTCTTCGCTGATGTCCACTGAGGCAGAGCATCTACAGTGAAGGCACTGCAGGTCTCTCTGAAACAGCTGCCACCTCATTGTCCTCATCAGAGGGCAACATTCACCATTATCAGAAACGAGAAAGGAAATCTGAATTGCATAGTAAGAGTTCACAGCAGAGCAGCCTTCACTGGAAGCAGGAGCATTGCAAAAATGACAGTAGGGATTAGCTTTTCACCTACCATGTGAAACATTTTAGTACCTAGTTCTCTCTTTTGCCAATCTACTCTGCCACTAAATATAAAACTGTATTTGAATATGTGTGCAGGGGTAATATACAACTTCCTATATGTAAGAACTAGCTCCATCAAAGGAAAACATATTGGTAGTCTCAGAAATAAAAAACCCCCAAAACTTAGGAGAAAACTGTTCCACATCTTACTCCAGCTCTGTTTGCACAAGGATTTGTCTGGAGTACACTGGACAATCTCTAGTGCTGCTTACAGACAGCAGGATCACTTGAGCTGCTGCTGCCTGGTTAGGTTACACACAGCAAAACCCCAAAAAGCCGTATCGTGAGACCTAACACAGAAGAACACGGTTCTTCAGAACACCGATGTGCACAGGGGTCACTGCTGCTCCTCCCCCACAAAATTAACAGCATCCTTAGATGCATGATTTAATGAGTCAAGAGACTTCGGCAACAAGGCAACAACTTTGTTCTGGCATGCGCCTGGCCAGCTGGTTTTTGTGCCACGGTGAAAATGCTCTAAACCAGTTCACAAATGTAACTGAAGTTCTAGAAAGCCACAGAACTACAAACCTCCTCCTCCAAACATCTACAGTGACCCACAGAAAAGCATACCCAGGGCAGAGTGTGTGTTAGCACCCTGACGAAGACACCAATACCTCTGTGTGCTGCTTCAGGTAGTTGCACTGGCATGAAAAGGAATGGTGGGTGTACTGCAGCATGGGAAGGCAAGGGCAGAAGGTAACACCAATCTCCTCAAACTACCAATGCCACTGCTGCCTCTGCTTCATGCAACTGCATTTTTCAAGAGCTAAAATGCAGGGAATTCAAGTAATTACACCACCTGGGAATGCATGCCCAAAGAGGCTCTACTAGAAACAAAACAATGCTGATATGTATGAAACCAGAACGTGAGAGTTAAGACTACTTTGAGCAAGATTGCTTAAGTCATCAACTACACATCTCTATGCTAGCTTTCCTATATTGTGGCACATCAAACCTATTAAGACATGAAGAACATATCCTCACCTCGTGAATCCTATGTGTTGTGCATGCAGAACAAAGTTCAGAAATTTTCGTTTTTCAAAAAATCATTCTGGATCCTGCAACTAAGCAGGTAAAGTGAGCAACGCTAGTGTAACCATCTTTAAATCTTTGCAAGAGCAGTGTAACATTATCGTTTTCATAAAGTTGTCCATCAGGAAACCAAAGGCTGCAAGAGTAGCCACGGAATTAATGAGGAAGCAGGTTTGTGTAACCTATGTGGATTGCAGCCAAGACATGAAGGTCAGCTCCTCACTAGCAATCCATTAAATTACATCCTTAGGACACCACATGTAAATAACTTGACAGAATGAGCAAGTGAAACCATGTGACTGGAAACTTGGCCAAGAACCTGAGATACTTATTGTCGCTGCCAGTTTTCCAGGAAGAAGCATTTGCAAAGAAACAGCAAAAACCCACCCAAAAATAAAACAGTCAACCAGTGGTAACATACAGAAATACTGTAAGTTTGAGTCCAGGAAGAGTCCAGGGTAAGGAAGAGAGCAAACCCAGGGAATTGTGGCACAGGCAACACAATCATATGATGCTGGCCTAGGAGCTGCATGCTTTTTCACAGTGCAGCATTACTTACCCAAAAGGAAATGGTTTGTGTGTGCTCAGGAATGCTCTGACTGCAGTACTGTTGTTTAGGTACTCACACTGCCCAAGCTTGTATTTTAAGCTGAATCATATAGGAAATAACGTGTAATTTTGCACCACTACACTCAAATAGCTAAAGAACCCAAAAACACCTTCCACACATGATCAGGGATTCCAGTGTATCAATTTAGGTGTGGGACTTCCTTTGAAAATTAGTAACAGTGCATCACTTCACATAAAAAAAGTTGCTAAAATTAAGTGTTAACCTCTGGTTGTGGCTTGCACTCTCGCTTCATCCAACACTCTTCCCCAGAACCTCACAAAGAAAGGGTCAAGAAACAGTATTGGACACTTGCCACAGCCAAAGGCTCTTACTGCCCTTGTCAAAGGAAGTAATTTCCCAAAATGCATTCTTTCAGTGAAGATATTCCTAGTGAGCTTTTAATTTAAGTAGAATTTATGTGGCACTTAAAAATCCTCTGTTCCCTCCCTCCCACCTTTAAATGTTTTACATTTTTTCTTTTTAAGTAGTAAAAGCTAGTACTATGCTTGAATATTTGTCAGTTCACGGACTGCTCTCCCGGCACAGATAAGCCCATCAGCTGAACAGTATCAGTTATCAACTCAGGTTTACTACACCACAACAAAAATAGACCTTCTCGAGATTAGTGGCAACTGAGTCAGGTGCATACCAAACGTAACCTATGTGATACCTCCACCTGCTTTATGGAATACGGGGTTTTATCAAGCTTTGTGCTGAAGAGGGCAGTGCACACACAAAGTACATCCAATTGTGCACTCCAAGTGCTTCTTGTTCCACATGGAAGTGCTCAGGGCATCCATTGTGTATATTAAAGCCAGAACAGTGGCAGCCAAAGAATTTATGCTCAGCCCTGGAGTCCATCTGAGCCACGTTTGCGTGCCATTATCCAGCAATCCAGGGATGGGGAAGGCTTATCTTCAGTGCACAGCTGCAATCAGCCAGCTGCCTCTGCAGGAGTTAGGTGGACCAAGAAAAGCTATTGTTCCAGGAACTAGGAGTATTAGACAAAAGCTTAAATTGTTTCGGTGATTCTGAACTGGGTAGTGGCATACATCCTTTTCAGACAAATGCAGTCTGCCTACAGCCTTATGGTCTTCAGTGGTCATGTCAGGCTACCCCACCCTAAAAGATATATCCATGTGTAGCTAACAGCTGCAAAAAT